GAACGGGTGATATAATTGAGTAATCGTGCGTGTAAGCAGAACCGCCTCCAGCTGTCTAGCGGCTTATCCAGGCAAGAATATTTCAAAAAGATAAAATGGAAAATGAAACTAACAAATAGAAGATCTTTTTTAGCTGTTACTAAACAAAGAATGTCTGATCAACTCCAACAGGATATGATGAGTCGTTTAAATTCGTCCTCCAAATATGTATTGTATAAACATTTGGTTGACAAAGTCTCACTACAACTGTACCTGTGTAAGCCTATTCCTATTAAGTATAAGAAACTTATCACCAAAATACGTTTGTCTGCTCATTGTTTAAATGTAGAAACAGGAAGGTATACAAATATTCCTGTGGAACAGCGCACTTGCAAACTTTGTAATTCCGACATTGAGGATGAATTCCATTTTGTACTTAAATGCCCTGTTTATAACAATTTGCGTCGTAAATATATTAAATCATACTATAGGAGTAATGTCTCCGTTTTCAAATTAGTAGATTTACTTAAAACTCCTAATGTAAAAGACTTATGTAACTTGGGAAAGTATTTGTATCATGCTCTCAAACCGTGATCTAGTCTATTGTAATAAAATCACTAAGTTTTTGTATGTAACAATGATTATAGAAACAATGTCTGTCTGTCTGTCTGTCTGTCTGTCTGTCTGTCTGTCTGTCTGTCTGTCTCTCTCTCTCTCTCTCTCTCTATTGTATACGATACATGTTGTATATCTATGTATTAGAATCCATAAGCTGTATTGCTTCAGATCAATAAAGAAAAAAAATAGAGTTTTACTCACCGGCTTACTGTTCTACTATTGGTAATTATGGATCTTCAAATTTATATCTTTTCGATTTTTTTTTTTGTTTTTTTGTTTTTTTTGTTTTTTTTTGTTTTCTTTTTTTTTTTTACTTTATTATATTCTGAATGAGCCTTTGCCGAATGCACAGATACTAAAATGATTTTTAGAAAGGTTATTATCATAAAGATATCGAATTATGAAAATAATCTGGAAATATTTTCTTCAAATTTAGTGGCCCACATTTTTGCTGTTTACAAAACTAGGTAATTTTTTTTCATATTTTCATGATTCAATTCCTTTCATAATTATTTGATTTTCCTGTAAGATCTGACGAAGAGCTCCTCCTGGGATCCATACACGTTTAACTGACAGTGTCACATACAGAAATATGTCATTTAAAACTATTTTTTACACCTCTAATGTCACAGACAGTTTGAAAAATAATATGCATAATGTAAAATGAATCACGTACTTGTCGACAACCTTTTCTTGCCAAGTACCAATTCTTGACAAATGTTTGTTATTTTGCACATAACTTGCTGTTTTTCTCAAGACATTTTCATGCCGAAACGCCATGGAGTTACTTACAAAATGTATTTATTGCGACCTTCGGCGAGTATTTATACTAGGCGAGAAATGTCAACGATCAGAAATCCAGTTATTATTCAGGAAGAAGTTGTAAATCCGATCGAGTAATAATTTACAAAAAACAACCTTATAAAGCTGTTGTCTATCAGTTATCCCTATCAACAGTGTTTTAAGATACATGTATATTAAAATATTCAAATTGATCAATATCAAATTCACGATAAGAATTTCAAATGAACAAATGTCTTATATTGAAACCCGCTTTCCATATGTCGAAATTATTTTTGAAAATAGTCTTTATGTTCACATTTTTTAAAAAAAATCTGTTTGGAATCGTGCTAATATGCCCTGGTACTAAGTACTTCCATATAATTTAACATTCTTAAAAGTAAACATTTCAATTTTGAAGGGGAATGTTGAAAAAAAAAATCAACGACAGCGGAGGGGGAATAACTCGTGGTGTAATCTGATAGCAGATAGAATGTTTATGCAGAAGAATAAAATGAAATACTCAAAATGTTCTAATTTAAACAATCCTTTTATTTTTGGTTGGTATAAATTAGATGCATTTTTATTTGAAAGTGAATTGGCATTTCGTCTTGACAACGACATGTAAATGTACTATCTGGCCTTTAAGATTAAAAAAAATATCCACAACAACCGACTGTGCCACATTAAAGCACGCGATCCAGTGTAGAAGGGGAGATAACTCGGAAAACAGCTGAAAATTGAAAAAAATAAGATGTTGTCATATACATTCACTAGCTACGTTAAATTCAAATTCCTTTATCCTGTTGGCCTTCCAGACCACTAGATTTAACATATACCAAACACCATATTCATCAATGACACAATATTGTGAACTACATGTTAAATATTATATTATATATCATTGACCCATAACACATATACAAGTATATACACGGACCAGTAAGTTGTAAGCGACGAAGATGGAAGATGAAATGAACATTTTGAGAAATAAAGTAATAATACGTTTATAAATGACAAAATATTCTTTTTAAATATGTTCAAAACGTTCCACATGTTTTGTTCAGGATTAAATAAGCTTTTGTCATGCTAATGAGCTTGATCTCATTTATTGTCTACGATCTCAGCTGTAATTGTAACGACAACATTTAACCATAAATATATATAGCGAACCTCCGATATACAGGGGGACATGAAATATATGTACATAGTCAAATTCACATTAAAAGACATACACGTAGGACCTGTATCGCCGTTTTTGTATATGGCCAAAATTTTGTTATCCAAACGGGAAGGGGACGGCGTATTTTGATACAGCATATCAAAATATTCCTTCAAGACCACGTAGTCACTTTGATGAAACGGACAACAAAAAGACACTAGAAAAATTTACTATTTACTATTTACTATTGACTAGCATAATACCATATTCACAACTCTGGCCACAACACACAACACAACACAACACAACACAGCACAACACAACACCATACAATACAATACAATACAATACAATACGACACGATACAACACAACATCACAACACGACACAATGCGATACGACACGACACGATACAACACAACACAACACAACACACACAACATAATACGACACGATACAATACAACACAACATACAACACAACACAACACAAGACAACACAACACACACAAGACAACACAACACACACAACACACACAACACAACACAACACAATACAATACAATGATATTTTATTTTAGTGTAAAACATTAAGATATCGCCAAACATTATGATACCAAGCCGTATTCGGCTTACGAGACACTGTTAACCAAAACTTGGCAGCTTACTGAGGACTTCAGGTGTGTGGTTCGATCCCTAACTCGTGGTGGTTTGTGCTACTGAATTTTGAGGCGGAGATCAGACATCTGCTGTCGTGGTTGAGTCCCTAGCAAGACACGTAATCACAGTTGTCCTGGACAATATACGATAGACCTCCCGCATGTTGTTCAGTAGGGCAGAATCAATGCCACTTTCTGTTCATGACTCAATTAATTCACCAAACAAGCAAAAGCATCTAATTTAACTTGGAATTCCTTACATTTTGTTAATTATTACGATTCAGGTGACGTTAATATCATTACGTGGCACTTCCAGGCGATTGATTAAAAGTCCATCATAAATACTGTGCTATCTTATATTTATATTAGAACTTTTGTTACATTATTTACGCCCGTCATTGATACTAAGATAAACAAGTATTGTTTGTTTACTTTCCATGAAGTGACGTGTACTTATGTATATAAGGGCATTTTCTCCCTCGACACCTGTTTACTATTGACACGGAACTCAACCCGGTAAGACTCCATTTCTGGTGGTGGACACAGCATGCTATGGTTACATGACGATATGAACAGAATAACTCGCATTCTCTTTGCTAGACGCATTGTCGTACATCTGATCATTGACATGCTTGTTCATTTGTACCGGTGTTTTGGGTTATGCTAAACACATTAACTGCGTGTATTTCTATTAGGTGCATACTGAAATAAATACCCTTAAAAGTTCGGTACATCCTGTGAAAAACGGTGCAAAGTAACACTAGCAGACACTAGGCAATGTTTAGTAAGGTAGCCTTACAGATAATAGGTAAAATAGAAAAATAGCAACCACTATAAATCTATTACAGGAAGATTTAATGAATGAACAAAAGATGTCTCTAAAAGGGCTATTAAAATCAGCAACGTTTACAAAATAATTGGATGTTTGCCCCAATTTTGTTATATTTAATATAATATTTAACATATTTTCGTATTTACAAATTATTATGTGGTATTAGTTATTATAGTTAGTACAGAACAAATTGGGTGTTTCATAAAGCTTACTTAATTGTCCCAAAACAATAGATAAATGCATTGAGATCCCGTACATTGATCATCGATTTACACAACAATGTCCCCGACGGACTATGTACACGACCGTCGTTTTCTCAAGTCGACATTGAACTTCTTGGAGGCAAAATATCCTTCACGTCAGCGATCCAGTGACTTCTTTCTATCTCTAGCGCCTAAACACCTGACAAAGAGAGTTTTGTTGATTAGTTGAAAGGTTTGTCGTATCTTCAACTCCCTCTGTGTCCAGGCATCGTCTCACCGACGGACGTCATTGTTCCGATGACGTCATATAAAAAGAACGTTTTATCAATACTATATATACATCTATTCATTTCTTAATCTTCTCTTTTGTTCGGTTTATCGGTCGATAACTACAATTTGAACTCAGTAAAATTTTACATAGCTGGCAAACTACTCAATTTACTCCGGGACAATTGTAGTTATGTCCCGCCAGATAACGTTAACAACATTTAAAAAGTTAATCCTTATATATACAGTTTTTTTAGTCGTCTCCAAAAGTTTACAGATAGTAAAATAATGGAAACATTCAGTTAATCAGCCTGAAAACTTCCATCATGGAACAGGCTATTGTTTCAGTCTTTCTGATACCACAACAACAAAATGAACGTCATTTTAAGATTCTCAGTGGTAACTGAAAGTATTTACAGAGGAAATGCAAAACAGATACATATGCTATACAGCTTTTTTTTCAAATTTTGTAATCCAGATTATATGTTTGCAGCTTGCACGATGGCTGACCGATGTGTGGAACCGAATGCCGCTCGATCTGTCCACCTGAGATACAGAGTGCCTGATCACGCCACTTCCGCTCAGAACACAGTAAGCGTCAGTCTTTCTCAAACCGGTACATACTTCTGCGCTATCAACTTCCGGTGTGGATACATGGGAATTCAAGAGCTCTACGACGGGAAAAAGGTAGTGATATTTTCCGTCTGGGACAATAAAACCGACGACGATCCAGAGATTGACCGACAGGCAAAGGCGACTTACCAAGGTCAAGGTGTAGACATTCAGAGGTTTGGAGGGGAAGGAACAGGACTGAGGTGCTTATTACCATACGACTGGGCCTTGAATGAAAAGACAATCTTCAGAGTGGATTCGGAGACGGACGGAACATGGACGGCGTACTCTGGTCATTACTTTGACCAGAGGAAGAATGAGTGGTTCCACATTGCCACTCTTAAGACTTTGACACAAGGAAAATTGATTTGCGATTGCGTCGCATTCGTTGAAGACTTCCGGCGCGATGGGAAAAGTTTTCATGAGAAACGGAAGGCATGTTTCAGTGACTTTAAATACTTAGCAGATGATCAGTGGAAAGGTTGTGACAACGTTCGTTTTACTGCTGACCCAACAACGGTGCTGAACATCAACGCAGGGTGTGAGGAAAACGGAAATTTATTTTTGGAAACTGGAGGGGATACATGCAATTGTGACACACCCTTGAACGAAACAGTAAAAACGAAATGAGTTTTCTTTTCTCTTTAGGAACGTCACGATATGTTTCACGGCATTATGTGATGATTAACTAATCACTGACAATTTTCTTATCTATGTGTGTGTGTGAGAGAGAGAGAGAGGGAGAGAGAGAGAGAGAGAGAGAGAGAGAGAGAGAGAGAGAGAGAGAGAGAGAGAGAGAGAGAGAGAGAGAGAGAGAGAGAGAGAGAGAGAGAGAGAGAGAGAGAGAGAGAGAGAGAGAGAGAGAGAGAGAGAGACACACACACACACACGTTGGTTTCGCTGGGTACTCTTGTTTCCTCCCACAGTAAGACACCTGGCATATTAATATAATTTAGAAAAAATACTCGTTTCGCAACTGTGGAAAAATAAATGATGTTAAAAAAGGGTTGTTTACTGGTCTGCTGTCTTTTTCTTCCATCTTACTAGCAGTACATTCATGCTCTTAACCAAGTGGGATATGACTCATTTAAGAGTCACGTGTTTGTGATTAAGATCGAAAATTTAAAAAATCAGCATTTTTCAAATGTTAAAATGACATCTAGTTTGTCGGAGATCTTTCTTTAGTCCGATTCTCAACGTCAATAACGATTCAGAGGAGAGAGGGGGTGACAGTAAATAAGACAGAAATGCCATCTTTAGCATTAGATCCTGGAGTATAAAGTATTTGGTGAATACACCCACGTCATAATTTATTTTACTTGTGCATGTAACCATATATGTATATATGTGGCATCATGAAAGGATTATGAAGTGATGTCACACACGTTATCTACACAACTGCTTTTGTAATATATACGATTTTTTCTTGTACGACAGAAGTTCCTTTTTTGTTGAACCCGGACATCGAGATGAAAAGAGAGTACATTCTAAGAGTGCATAAGGGGAATGTGTGTACAGAAATCGGATTACTTCCCTTGAGTTGTATCTCGGAGAGGGAGGGGGGGATAGACCACTACAACAATATTTCATTCAAACTGATATTCGATACAAATTCTGATGACATCTTCTAGAGATTTTTAACTTCAATGAATAAAAAGATCGAATGCTTGCCTCCTCGTTACCGAAAACCGCCTGTAATCCGTGCTCTTCATCACTATTATCCTCCATTTTAGGTTATATAATACAATTAAAAGGGATTCGACACTCACCAGGGGCAGAAAATATTTATCTCTATTCCTTTCATCGAATACTCTCATACCAACCAACAACCAACTAAGATTTCTGTTATGGGTGGGTTTTTGTGCTGACGACTCTATATTAAAACGTCCTGTTAGAGTTTAGTTTTTCGCATATTGGAGGCTTTGATTTTAAAATCTATTATGATTTACATATGCAAAAGTATTTCTGTCTTGATTTTCGAATGCTGACCGAAATACGAGTGAAAATTTCATGAAAGAGTTTTTAAGAAATTAGATTACATCGCTATATTACAGCTATAGACAGATACTGGTTATTTTATAGTCAGCAAGGATAGAAAATATTTATTTTATTTGCTTTCATGTAATATTTTCTTTGCCAAAAATAACAATACTCAATTTCTTTTACATATGATGTAAACACTGATTATCAACAATGATAAACAACTACAAACAAAACGAGAATCTATTTGTTGGGTTTGACTTCAATATATTTCTGTTTGTATCAAATAAACACACATGAATTTGGCAAAATTCCCAATTTATGTAAAGCCCTTTCACTGTAGAGTTTTACAATATTCACACACATTGCACATGTACATCAAATCTGTTTGATATTACAAATTTTATTCTCTGATGTACATAAAACAAACAAAAGGTAGTGTTGACTATTTTTAAAAAACATTCAAATAATTTATAATCCTTGTAGAAAAGGTGAGAGCTACTAATATTACTAAAGTGAAGTTTGAGTCACAAGACAACACTGTAACTTGTAATTTGGTGGGATATGATATCAATCCTAGTTTTGTCAAAGATTTCAGAAACTGTCAATTTTGCTGGTTACTTTCCTTTTTTGACTCTCCTGATATGATCTCTTTCGTATTTCAACTCATTTTATGAGATGTCATGGAAGTACATTGCATTTTCAACATTCTATAAATTTGTGCAAGATAAATTAACTAACTGAAAATAAAAAAAGAAAGAAAAAGATCATCTTTATTCCATGTTCCATGATTAGAATTATCTCCAGATTTCCAGATAAAACCATCCGCAGTTATTATATGGAAGATACGGTGATTAAGATATCAAAAATGTTTTGCACTCTAGACACTATATGTGACCGCAATGAAAACCAGACTTGTGGTCATAACCCTTCGCACTAAAGTGTTTTCTGAAGCGTTTTTCATAATATGCTGCAGAATTCTAACATAGACAAAGCTGTTACGTCATGAGTTGAAATTGTGCAACAAAATGACAGTCATTGTTTGATTTTGTCCCAACGTTGACAGTTTTACTTTAAAATCCGTCGTTTTACGCAGAGTTATGTGATGGAATATAAAAAAATTAAATTAAAATCTCCTAGCAGTCGTTTAATAAAATCTCATATGAAAAGCATTTAATTGAACGAGTGTATATAATGGAAAGCTATTTAAACTGGACACGGGCGCAACAAAGTATCATCTGACTTTATTAACTTGTTTTCTATTGTTGTACACTATATAAATGTCTGTTATACGAAGCGATCTACACTTTGGACGGCGTGTACTTTATTGATGTGGATAATCTTTACCCGGAGATGATTCAACTTCGGTGATTACCATTCATGTCTAGCCGAAATCGCATGATTATGTTTTTAGTAACACTTTATGGTAGTGCATTATCGAAATGTAAATGTTGCTTTTTCTCCTGAGGAAAATATAACGTAAAGCATTTGTAGTAAGAACGCATCACAGTGTATATTGATGAATGTTTAGATGTGGTAATGATCAGGGAACAAAATGATTCCATTTAGCGTACTCTTCGTACGGCGACTCACCCAAATAAAGGAAAGCACGCAACGTTGGAACTCTTCAGGGGGCTGTGATAATGATGATAAATCATCTAAATGTATGTTTACTTGTATTGGGCAGTGTCCAACGATCGTAACCGATCATGAGCAGGTAGGTTTGACATTAACTCTATAAGGTTTACAGGTGAATTCAATAGGCCCACGCATCTCTTGAAAGCCAATCTCATCTCGCAGTCAGGTTGAAGTGTGAAGTGTCATTTCCTAAACAAAATAAAACATCACACGAAGGACGTTTACGTACATGTGTCCTGACGATACCAGAATGAGATGACTCAAATTTAGATTGTGTGACGTTTCGATGGTTACAACCTGTCGCTTTCATCAGGCAAATGAGTCGATGACAAAATGCATGTAAACGAGGATATAACATGTTAATTGATTTGTCAACCATTCTGATAATTTGCTTCGAGTTAAAATGAAGCAGATCAAACCGTCTTGCCTCAGCACTTTCAGACGGTGTTTATGATCTTTGGAAGTATCCCAGTCAATGGTATTATTTTACTATGTGGTATGGTCTTTGATTGCCTGTTCACTGATAAATGAATCCAGCTCTTTTGACATTCAAAATTATTACTGAATTGGGTTTTATTGGTCAAAGTTTCTTGTTATTTAGCTACAGAAGCAAATGCCTTGGTTAATATCATATTTTCAATTTCAATAAATTAATTTTTTTCTGAAATCTGTTAGGCCAAAATTGGTCCCATTTCCATTTGGATTTATTTCTTAATAAATATATGTCCAATATATAGAGGTTACAACAAGTGTGGTAAATGGTATTTCTGTCACATAAGTTAGTTATTTTTCAGAAACTTGGAAATTCACAAGCTTTAGTGGGTGGGTTTACTTGGGAATGATCTGTAGGTACCAATTTATTGATCTGGAATGGAGATTGTTTTCTACCAGTTGTGTTTTTAGAACTGTTTTTCTTTTGACATTACTTACTAGAAGAAAATAATCCAAAAGATTATTTGGAGGAAATTTCATGTGAATGTATTTGCTTTTTGTTCATCAGACAAAATAATCAAGGACATGAAATGATGATTGATATGGTGATTTTGTTGATCTGAAATATCTGTTTAATTTCTTTTTCAGACCTTTGTCTGCACTCCTGTCTTTTGTGATTTTGTCGGCTGCAGGTATGTTTTTTCATAACGTATTTTCCTTATTCTTTATTTGTATTGATACTGCATATGTTCTGATGGAAGTTGTACCCCTCAGTTTGCTATTTAGATAAACCACGGACGTGGATAAACAAATGATATTTCATTTGCGTTAATTCTATATAGAGTTAGCTGGATCGGTTTAAAAACATTTGTGCAGCCCTGGTTACATCATAACAGGTTTGTATTGTTATTAGCCAGACAGAAGGTAACATCTGTGTAAATTATAAATCTACAGAAATAAGCCTAAGGAAGTAATAAAATTGTAACCTCAGCAGAAATTTTTGTGAACAGCATACACTTGTGTATTTACCCAATACACTGCATAATATCTATGATCAAGTGAACCTTCAGTTCTTGATTTCCTGATAAACTGTATTTAAATGGTTAAATTTATATTGGCTGGGAGTATTCCCACCAATTACGCCTGTCCAAACTGACCACAAGAGAGATATTTTGATGCTAACAACAGTTTAACAAGTCGTCAGAATGAGTTCTTGAAAAGTACAGCCAGAAAATGTGCAACGAGGGCAGAACATCCCTTTAAAAGAATCTAACTAATGCTCCGTAACGATCTTTATATTTACTTTAAATGGTTGTAGTGGCCATTTTAAAATTTTACTCATCACTTTTCCCTCCATGGAAAGACATGTAAGAGTTACTTTGTATACAACAGAGGGTATTGTCTGAAGATTTCTGTTTTCTTTAGACAATTCAAAAGTATGTATTGTTACACCTTGGTTTGTGCGTCTGTCCATCTGTTTGCTTGGCTACACTTAGAAAACTGATCAACTGATCATTATGTGTGCTGAACATCAGTAAAGAAAAACACAATCTACATTATAATATTATTTTACTATAAAGTAGATATATAATTTTTATCTTGCTACTGCTACTGTAAAACAGCTGTATTTAAACACTTAAGGTAATTTGACTGAATTATTCTCTGAATTTACTGAAATGTTACGTTTAGAATTATAAATTGTTGAAATAAGCAATTTTCCATGTTGTAATGAACAAGTTGATTTACAAAAATTCATAAAATCACTGTTATATTAGATGGAGTTTGGAATTATATTTCCACGCGGAGCAATTATTTTGGCGTCTGTCATCAAGCAAAATTCAGCGTAATGTCGATGTTAGGTAACACAGATTGAATACTAGAACTGTTGAAGTTTCAGTAGTCTGATCATCAATCAATGTTGCAGGGTAAATAGAATACATGGTCAGTGTCTTGACAAATAAATGGTATTTTGGCTTGGGACAGAAAGACAAAAGAGTCTTTCTTCAGCTTCACCAAAATACAATATATATTTTTAAGACACTGACCATGTATTCTCGATGTGTATGTTTGTACGGATGTTGGATGTTCGTACCAACAGCTGGGCAGGGGGAATAACGCCTTCAGGCCTTCTTGTTTAGGTTAAAGTATAGTTACGCATGTGTTTGACTTGTGATGTTTGAATTCTGTTTATTGCTTGTTTTAGTGAGAAGTGAAAACTACTTCTGCAGTCATAAGCTAGAGGAAATTGAGAATGATTATCTGGGAAACATCACTACTCGAATGCCGTGGGAATCTCATTATTCAAACAACATGAAATGTGAATGGAGGATTAATGCTGGAGTATTTTTGAGAATTAGAATCACATTTACCAAAATTGACTTGGAACAACTCACTCCTGGATCACCTTGTGAAGATGGAGACTTTCTGAGTATACAAGAAGGTAAGAAATATGACATGTTCATTGTTATACCTTTGTTTGAAATTAAAACATAATTTCAATAGCAAATACGTGTATTAATCTTTTTTCATTGAAAGTACATGTCTGGTAATACACTTACCTTCAATCTACTGTAAAAATAACTTACAAAAAAAATTCAGTTTATCCTGTTTCATTATAGGTACTTTTGCAATTGAATCTATAACTTTTGCAATTATCATTACACACTGATATTGATAGTCTCTATCACGCACACAGTGATATGAGGTTATGAATGAAGGACTCTGGTATAATGTAATTGCATCACACACCGGGATTGAATTCTGTGCATTTCAAAATGTCTCAATAATATAAAGTCTGTTTGAAATATGGTCTTTATGCCAATCTTTGTCAAACTTTTAATGTTTTCACTAACTGAATCTCAAAATAATAAGTGTTGGAATGTTGTATTTAGGAAATGAAATGCGATTATATGTATGTGAAGTATAAGAAATTAATGTTGATTTTGATGCTATGGTACCAGAAAGACAGAAACGATAGGCAGTTCCATGATGGTGGTTTTTAGGCCAATAAACCAAATGTTTTCATTATCATTCTGTCTGTAAACTTTGAAATCATTAAAAACAGAAACTGTATTTAGATGAAGAAAAACTGTAAATATAAGGATTATCTTTCTATCTTGTAAAATAGAAAGTAAATCCTTAGATAAGCCCACCCCTCAAAGTTGAAGTGTTGTCCTCTTGGACTTACTGAAAGATACAGTACATGTATATGTATGTTCTTGTTTTAGGTTACTATGAGTTTTCTCCCATCACACTGAAGGTTTGCCCTGGACAAACTAATCCCTATGAAGTCATAAGTAGATATGGTTATCTTCGACTGGTGTTCAAGTCCAATCAAAATAACTTCCTGAATCATGATGGTATTGAGATGAAATTTGAGATTTTCAGTAAGTACAAGACTCGTATGTGTGTTATGACTTAATCTTAAGACTTAATCTTATGATAATATCATCTTGTCATTGAATACAAAGTTGACAATATATGTACATTGCTAAATAATCATTACATGTATAGCAGGACTTATGTCCAAGTGTGACATCTCCCCAAACTGTAAATACCTTTTGATGTAGAATTTATTTGAAAATCAGTAAGCTGGTAATAATAACCCGATACCCAGTATCGTAAACCAGCTGTCTTTAGCATGCTAGTAACTTTCACAATTTTTTCTCATTACAACAATTTAGCAATGATAATTTCAGGCATTATGATATGATTTACTGTGCTAAGTCTTTGTTCATGTTATTCCTGTGGCGATTAAGTTGCCTTGGTTACAAATAATGACTTTTTTTTAATTTTGTGTAAATAATTTCTGGACATGAAAAAGATTGTTTACTCTAAATGGCCCACTTGGCATGATGTGGGAGAAACAAGATGTAAGAAAAGTTAACACTGATATTGATGTCGCAGATCGGACAGAGTGCCCACCTGATTGGATAAATGGTCCAGTTGATATCTATCTACATGCACCCACAGTGACCTGTTTCCGTTTCCAGACAGGCACAGCTGGTGGGATGGACTTCCTCTCAGCTCAGAATTTCTGTGCCTACAGCCAAAGTAACCTGGTTAGGATGAGAACCAAAAATATGTTTGATTTTGTGATTGGTAAGTATCATCCAAAACCTACCAGGTTAGGAAAATATTTGATAATCTCTATGATTTTGTACTCAGTAAATTTCAACCAAAGCTGCTCACTCAGTACTATATAAAAATTTCAAAATTCAGATCCAGTAATTGGTGTGATGTTTTACCCTGTGAATTTTCCCTACAATTATGTCATACAGTGCATCACAATTTACAAGTTTTTATTTCATTAAAATAACCTAGATTTACCTTTATTCAATGTATAATAATATCTGTGAATTTGAATATGTGTGCTAGTACATATTGTGTTGTATCATTCTCTGTGATTTGTATAAATACTACAGGACTTATGATTTAATTTGGACATTAACTTTCACTATGTAAATGGTAAATTGAAGATATGTTAATTTTCAGATTTAGTAAAGAAAAATGGATTGGTGTTTTACATGTGGGTAGGTCTTACAGATAAGAAAAGAGAGGGAACTTTCGAGTGGCTGGATGGCACCAAATTCAATTCCATGGCCAGGTAATCTCTGAAAATGATGAATTAAGCCATAAATATAAGCTGACTGAGGTAAAGTTATCCAGACAAGGATATCGTAACTACTGGTTTCTATACACATATACAGTGGGGTATGATAGCTCAGTCGATAGAGCATTGTGCCTATGTAACCTCAAGTAAAGATCTGAGGTGTGTGGTTCTACGCCCCCTACCTGTTGCAGATTGTGTCTCCTATGCTAAGAAATGTGCTGGTCTATGCTGATGTGGTTTCGTCTTTGAGCAAGACACTTTATCCTACATGCTCTCGATGGGATTTATCCGGTCGCCCAGATGTTGTTCTAAGAGGTAGCCTTACAAGGAGACCCAGCCTCAAAATGACCCTTTCTGTTCACAGGGTGACAAACCCAGCAAACATATCTATACACATACTCGTTCCAGGGAGTCAAATCCTTAAATTTCAGCAGTACGTCTTCAGTCATTATACTCGACCAATTACCCATTAGTGAGAGCCTGTAAGCATTAATGTTGCTGTACTCTCTAACTCGATTCTTTCAATAATTATTGTATGTGGTCAGTGGAAAATTACATACTTAATGTGTACTTAAAATTTATACTTCACATTAATGAGTTACAAGACCTATGTAATACATTAATTTCATGTGAAAGTTGGATTAATAAATGTCTTTTTCTGGAAATCCAGGTGGTCAGGTGGCGCATTGGTAACACACTTGCCTTTCACATAGGAGTCCGGGGTTTGATTCCCGGCAGGGGTGAAAGTATGGGGTCATGTGTTTCATGTGATTCTACTATCTACGTCATAAACATTTGATGTACTTTAGGCGAGATTTTTTGTAGAATTGGTGTAACAATGAAGCCCACATAAGTTCACGCTAAACCGGTCGACAAAACCAATAAATATCCCACCATTTACCCTGAGTTTGTTACATTTGATATCTATCACTGTTTGCTCCTATTCCTCATTGCCTTGCGTACCGGTGAATGTATCCGAGTGAAGGGTATCAGGAACGCAATACACTTTTACTAAAAATCATAGTGTTGGCTCTACTCTCTACTCTGTGTAACAGTATTAAACCTCTCTACAGAGGTCACATTTATACGATAATTTCGAACCTCTTTATAAGGCCATCTGTGTATTATGATATTGAATCTCTTTGTAAAGGCCAACTGTACATGTTAATATTGAAACCCTATATAGATGTCCTCTTTTATAATTTATAAATCATATAATTCAATAAAAGTTACTTATCTGTAATATTGAACCTTTGTATAAAGGTCACCTGTATATGATGATATTGAATCTCCATATAATGGCTAGCAATCATATGCTTCCATGAGTGACCTTTATAGACAGGTATGGCTGTTGATGGTCATTATGTGATGTCCGGTATTGTGTGGGATTCATAGATTTTACATGATTTGTGAGAAACTGATTTACAATAAATCTTGTTTTCTTTAATAGGATGTCTTCTGTCAATGACAAGAACAAGAACTGCGTTTTGATGAGTGTTCACTCCCAGTCTTACAAAGTAGTGAGCTGTGACGAAACTCACTTCTACATATGTCAGCTATACCTTGGTAAACATCATCTTAACATTTATAGAATGGTGTAGAACTTGTATTGTGGCATATATCATATAATATATACTGTGGCAAATAAAGTTGACTGTGGCATATAACATATACTGTAATGATATTCTAAAAGTCCATAAGAACCATTTTATCATAGTGGATTTTAAAAGTTGAAGATGGTTATCCATATTTTATGAAAAGGATCATATAAAAGTATCTCTATTTTCATGTGTTGACTTCCCTTGTTCCTTAGTCGTTCGTGATAAATTTTGGGACTGATTGCAAGGCAGCCATCTTGGATTTTGACTGTTGAAGTTTGTTATCACTGATCCTTTAGAAATACTGATTTTGGTTTTCTTCGAAGAAGAAAATGGCTTTCAGGCAGCCATCTTGGATTTCAACAATAATAGTCAGGGCTCTCACACCCCATTTTGAGACTGGGGCACGGGGCCCTTAGAATCGGGAAAAATAATAGTGTTTTCCTTAGAATTGGGAAAACTTTGGGTCTAAATTGGGAAAAAAAGATACTATTTTGCATTGGGAATTGCCCCAAACCTGGCAGATTGATAGCCCTGATAGTATATTACTATTTTGTGAGAGCTTCTGGGTAGATCATTCTTCTGCATACTTCTAATGTAGGTTCCCCTTGATAGCAAAATTTTCGTAGTCTATTTTAGGACTGATCAGAAAAATAAAAAGCCATTTTGGATTTCGAAAATTATAGTTTGTTACAGCTGTTTCTTTAGGAGTTCTAGAACATTCTCAAATATATGAATATTCCCTTTGGTTCCAAGTTGGGCATAGCAGAGGAAAGAAGGAAAAAGATTAAGAATTGATAGAGATCGGAAACAAATTCAGAACTTTAGGTTGAAGAAAATAGCCATGTAGTTATTGTGAGGGTGGAGATTGTTGAGTATCTTTACATTTTGAAGTGGAGCCTCAGTTTAACACTTTAGGTCTCTATCATATCACAGTGTATAACATGTAATGATTTCTGAAAGTGCAAATGGAAGGCAGTAATAAAACTGATACACTGTTGTTATCTTGTATTTAACAGAGGACAAGTACATCCATTTGGTACAAACAGAGGACACAAATTATGGTATGTATTTTTAGTGTCACTGATCTAAAGTGATTATCTTTGGATCAGGTAAAAGATTTCTTCATTCAATGGTTTGTAAGATATATTTGCTTACCTATGTATAATACACACCGTTAGATATATGTATAGGTAAGCCTTTGTATATCATACCAGTGAATATAAAAACTCTAATTACTAATCCACATATTTACATTTTACATTCAGACAATGTTTTTAAGAAGAAGGGGGTAAGAAAAGGTCATACACCAATATTGTCAGTTGATGGGACAGCTTTTGTTTCATGAGAAAACCTTGTTGACATGGGCAACCTAATTAATATAGACATTGAACACAATACATGTAGTTTCCTAGGTATACTAAAAACATTTTTTTTCTCTGTTAAATTGCTATTTCTTGAAAAGTTCCTGATGGATCTCTCTCAAATTTCATATGTAGGTTCCGTTTGGTCTCTAGTTGTGCCCATTGAATTTTGTTACATTTTTTCTGTTGCCATGGAAACATAGGGAAAAAAAGAACCCAATTCAGTGTTACAACTTAGAATCAACTCCACAGGTTAGTGCTGTAGTTGTGCCTTTTGTTATTGAGGACATTTTATTATTCATCTTTCTCCTAATAAAATTTTTCAATTTTCTGTGACTTCTTGTATTACTCCAGAACCTATAAGGTGTTGCATAAATTTGTTTATGGACAATACCAGGCTCTATTCAAATATCAGCAGTCAAACACACAGGATCTACAACAAGATATAAACTCTTACTATATGATTGATATATAGAAGATATATAAGATGTTAGAGTTGAGCAGATACAAAGAAATTTAATTGATAATTGACAAAAAAAAGATGTTACATTTTGCACTTTCGCTTGCACTGAATTAGATCTGCAGGTGATAGCAGCGGTACATCATTGAGTGAAGTCACAAGTTGTTATACTGGTGTACATATATCATACTTGGAATTTACACCAACAACAAGGTGTGGGGGATAATGCCACGCTTTTCAGTTCCTTGTGTTATTAGAAAATAACATACATTTGACTTTGTCTCGGCTGTATCCAGTGTCGGTGTAAATAATGTACCTTTGTATCTGGTTTTACCCTTTCAAAATAAAAAACGAAAAGGGGGAAAGAGACAACATTAGTCCATTTTATTAGTAGGGTCCTTAGATAGTTTAATCGCTGGAGAATGGGTACAATCAGGTATGCAGGGAGTCATTCAATATTATTAAAAAGACATCATAAATAGAAGTGTTCTCAACATTAACCACCTTTAGAGGTTAGTTAAGTGGTATACCTTTATTTCTTGTTGACCAGTTTCAACAGGTGTGGCTTGTCAGGGCTAATGTTGAAAACACTCCTACTTACGATGTCTTCGAAAATCAAGGTATGATCTAAAACGTCATCATGCCTGATCATTTTTTTCGTTATAATGATACTGTATCCTGTATTTCATACATTTAAGTGGCATTCTTTGATTTTAATTAACATTAGTTCAATATTTCAAACTTCCAAAACTTAGTTTTTAAGTCCTTAATTATGATCAAATTTAATTAAACAGTGGGATTTGAGCAGGTCACTGATATTGTCGATATGAAATTCACCCATGGTTTTATGGTTCCTCAGCAGTAAAACTATGTCTGTGGTAATATATTAGCTCCGTGAGCTTATTGTCTAGTAATAAGCCCATTCCCTGACTTGTGTCTGTGGTAATATATTAGCTCCGTGAGCTTATTGTCTAGTAATAAGCCCATTCCCTGACTTGTGTCTGTGGTAATATATTAGCTCTGTGAGCTTATTGTCTAGTAATAAGCCCATTCCCTGACTTGTGTCTGTGGTAATATATTAGCTCTGTGAGCTTATTGTCCAGTAATAAGCCCATTCCCTGACTTGTGTCTGTGGTAATATATTAGATCCGTGAGCTTATTGTCTAGTAATAAGCCCATTCCCTGACTTGTGTCTGTGGTAATATGTTAGCTCTGTGAGCTTATTGTCCAGTAATAAGTCTGCCTTCTTAGAAATAATGCATTGATCCCTGGTGTTTTTGCAGGATAAATATGATATATTTAAATGCAGCTTATGACTAAACATGTTTTTGGTTTTTCTTTTTGTTTTTAGTTGGAAAAGGTCCTGTCTTCGAGTTTAGAGAACTGATCTGGATAATAATTGGTGGTGCACTGGCTGTTGGTACAATAGTAATTTGTATATCCGTGCTAATATATAGATCTAAAACAGAATATATAAATGCCGACTACAGTTCACGCCAGATGGAAGGTCACAGGTCAAACTTGACGCAGGGACAATGTTCAAATCGGACAGGACAGGACGTTGAGGTATTGCATGCCCGCCTTGTTCAGCCTTCAACAGAATCACAGATAGAATCCTTAGGGAACCATCAACCCCTATCACAGCCATCAGCGCCTCCTTTAAGTGAATTGCAACCAGTTTTAGGACCCCAGTGTTCTGATCAAGATGCCCCTCCATCCTACTGGGAAGCTGTATATGCTTCTTAATTGATTATCATCTCATTTTTCATAAGGGCTGTAATAGCTAAGTTGGTAGAACAACCTGAGACAAATGGGTCCAGTCAATTGGACCCAAATGGTCTCATACAAAAGTCAGATATAATAGAATCAATTGCATGTATTCTTTAATGGCTGGAAAAGTATCTTACGATATTCATGAAAAAAATATTATCAAAGGGTCTCAGATTTTCCCCTCAAAGTTTGAAATAATTCAAATTTGGTTAGAGTTGTAAGTATAGGATGACAATTTGATGGTATGTACATATCAACCTAACTAACCTCCAGCATCTGATGTGCAGGTTCAAAAGGAATCAAATTTACTCAAATTTAAAAAATCTTGATTCTTCTCTTCTGCTTTTCCAGGCTATAACTTCAAAAATGTTCAACTCAACTTCACAAAACTATGAAATAAGTGTGTTAGCTGTGTTTTTTAACTTAAGTCAATATTTGATTCTTTATACTTTTTCTGTTACCATGGAAACATATTAAAAAAACTAAAAGCTAGTGTTAACTTTCCTTTCCGGGCTATAACTTCCAAACCATTCCACTCAACTGCACGAAACTCTGTTTATATAGTAGATTAGTGCTCTAGTCAAATTTTTTCCTGTTACCACAAATAACTCTCATCACAAATTTCAGTTTTTCTGTACCATTGCTGTTTTCTGTTACCATGGAAACAGATATGCCAAATTACAAAGCTCAGTTTTTTTCAGACCAGTTCTATTAAACCATTCAAGGTAATTACCTGGTACTCAAAACTTTTCTCAGGCATGATACCTTGTGTAGAACAATTAAAAATAACAAATAGAAATTAAAGTTGTTGTAATATTAATGTATATATTTGATTGTGTGTCTTTCTTTTAAACAGTGGGGCTCGGAGGATAATGTCACATTTTGTGTAATCTTGTTTATAAAGGAAAACAACATTCTTTATACAGGATGGCAGTTAATGTGATGTTGAGTTGAATTTACATTTTCATTATATGGACAATGTTGTTCTTGTTGTCTGACTTTGTTAACAAGATGATTTCTATGACGTTACTAGAACAACAACGGTATATATAGAATTTGTGTGACTGTTAAGGCCCTTTAGGCCTCTTTTTGTTTTATTATTGATTTTGGATAAAGTGAATTGAATGCTGCCTTTATGACTTGGGGAGGGCTGAAGTTCACCTCACTTCCATTTCACAATAGCCACAGGTACTGTTATGCTCAGGTGATTGTAAAATTTATATATTACTACACTTCATCAGTATTGCAAACCCATGATTTTCTCATTTCAGCCTGTATAGTTGGTAATATTAGCAGGGGATTGGTACTTGTGATATGCCCAGCCATCAAAGATAGAACAAAATTAAATGATTAGCAAACATTTGACATATATCAGAGTATAAAGAAATGTATGTTGCTTGCCTAAGAATAGCCATGTAATTGACATGCCCAAAATTTAGTACCCATGTATGCACCTTTGCTGTTATCACCGCAAATTGCTAGCCCTTCTTAATCAAACAACTACATATACGTTATTAAAGGGTTAAACACTGAATTAGGGTTAAGTGTCATGGTTGTGTCCTTGAGCAAGACAGTTAACTTTAATTGCTCTGGATATCATATGATGGGCCCTCCATATGTTATTCAGTAAGGTAGTCACCAGCTATAAGGAGACACCAATTCCAAATAATCCTGTATGTTCCAGGGTGATAAACCTAACAAACAACAAATGTAATCCCACACTTTTGTTAGGGTTTTTTGTTATAATGATATACTGTGTATATTAAGTATTATTTACCAACACATATTGTGCAGATATTAACTGTTTTTACCTACCAGTATTTCAATATAATACTCATATTTTCTCACCAGCTGGATGTATTGGATAGTGATTATAACCTTTCATTAGGAATGAAGACCATGGCTTTCTGAATTTCTATCTTATAGGTCAATTTATTGCATAGAGAATGACAGAGTCTATAATTGTTTTTTACACTTTGAAGTTTCTTTTTATAGGAATAATTTATTCTTATTTTTGTGTATGTGTGTGGTGTTGTGGTTTTAATTCAATCTTACAAGTTTAATTGAACATTTTTCTTACATTTGTGTGAAATCTTGTTCCAAGAAATTGAATACCTGAAACACTGTATAAGATCTTCTTGTGATTCTTATCAATGCTTTGTTCAGTACCCTGTAATATTTTTTGTTGTTACTGTATGTTAAAGTATACATTCATGTTTTACACCTATATTTTTGAAGTGTATTGTCTTTGTTGTTACTGTATGTTTAAGTATACATTCATGTTTCACACCTATATTTTTGAAGTGTATTGTCTTTGTTGTTACTGTATGTTACATTCATGTTTCACACCTATATTTTTGAAGTGTATTGTCTTTGTTGTTACTGTATGTTTAAGTATACATTCATGTTTCACACCTATATTTTTGAAGTGTATTGTCTTTGTTGTTACTGTATGTTAAAGTATACATTCATGTTTCACACCTATATTTTTGAAGTGTATTGTCTTTGTTGTTACTGTATGTTACATTCATGTTTCACACCTATATTTTTGAAGTGTATTGTCTTTGTTGTTACTGTATGTTAAAGTATACATTCATGTTTTACACCTATATTTTTGAAGTGTATTGTCTTTGTTGTTACTGTATGTTAAAGTATACATTCATGTTTTACACCTATTTTTTTGAAGTGTATTGTCCTTGTTGTTACTGTATGTTTAAGTATACATTCATGTTTTACACCTATATTTTTGAAGTGTATTGTCCTTGTTGTTACTGTATGTTTAAGTATACATTCATGTTTTACACCTATATTTTTGAAGTGTATTGTCTTTGTTGTTACTGTATGTTAAAGTATACATTCATGTTTTACACCTATATTTTTGAAGTGTATTGTCTTTGTTGTTACTGTATGTTAAAGTATACATTCATGTTTTACACCTATTGTTTTGAAGTGTATTGTCCTTGTTGTTACTGTATGTTTAAGTATACATTCTTGTTTTACACCTATATTTTTGAAGTGTATTGTCCTTGTTGTTACTGTATGTTTAAGTATACATTCATGTTTTACACCTATATTTGTGAAGTGTATTGTCTTTGTTGTTACTGTATGTTTGTTAAGTATACATTCATGTTTTACACCTATATTTTTGAAGTGTATTGTCTTTGTTGTTACTGTATGTTAAAGTATACATTCATGTTTTACACCTATTGTTTTGAAGTGTATTGTCCTTGTTGTTACTGTATGTTTAAGTATACATTCATGTTTTACACCTATATTTTTGAAGTGTATTGTCTTTGTTGTTAAGTTTTGTTCATTTGATTTTTATGATTTAATGTTTTATCACACATGAAAGTAGACACATGTTTTTTATCATTTGTATGTATATTTTTGAGTGGTAAGGTGGCACAGTGGTTATGCACTCGCCTTTCACAGAGACATCTTGGGTTCACTTCCGGAAACAATTATCAAAAGGTAAGGGGTCACCTGCCAAGACCATGTGGGTTTTCCTTGGGTACTGCGGTTTCCTCCTACAGTAAGGCCCCTGGCATGCTTCCATTCGGGCCAACTAGAGTCATTAACCCTTTCAGTGCTATAGGCGACTAAAGTCGACATGCAGGCAGGCCGCCGTACGCGACTTAAGTCGACATGCAGACAGGCCGCCGTAGGCGACTTAAGTCGACATGCAGACAGGCCGCCGTAGGCGACTAAAGTCGACATGTAGACAGGCCGCCGTAGGTGACTAAAGTCGACATGCAGACAGCCCGCTGTAGGTGACTAAAGTCGACATGCAGACAGGCCGCCGTAGGTGACTAAAGTCGACATGCAGACAGGCCGCCGTAGGTGACTAAAGTCGACATGCAGACAGCCCGCCGTAGGTGACTTAAGTCGACATGCAGACAGCCCGCCGTAGGTGACTTAAGTCGACATGCAGACAGCCCGCTGTAGGTGACTTAAGTCGACATGCAGACAGCCCGCTGTAGGTGACTTAAGTTGACATGTAGACAGGCCGCCGTAGGTGACTAAAGTCGACATGCAGACAGGCCACCCTAGGCGACTAAAGTGGACCATTTTTATATCTTTATTATTAGCCAAGATATGCTTGTTTCAGTAATGGGTTTCAGAAGAGGGTTAATGAATGTTGGAAAAACTTGTTGTAGCAATTATTGTAAAATAAATAAAGTGTATGTCTTTTTAATGTATTTTTCACTACAACCCTTTTCTTTATCTTTTATCTCTTATCTTTTAAAGCATAAAAGTCAATTGTGTTAAAATATCCAATTAGGTAATACAAATTCTGCAGGGTTCCATTGTGCCAAATTGTTATATCTTTATTTTTATTGTTTATTTCAAGGATTATAATTGTCCTTGTAGTTTCTGTAGAATTGAAAGTTTTACTTAGTCTGGATTGTATTCAATAATTTTTACTGTAATTGTTTTTTCGTGGATTTAATTTTGGAAAGTCACAACATCTAATCGTTTTAGTATTGTATGTAAAGCTTCAGATCACACTTGATGTGGTCTAAAAGAAAATGTCAAGTTAGTTATATTAGAATTTTTTTTTTATCTTTTACATCTCATATCTATTTATGTTTTACATAAAATTTTTGTTCAGTATTTTGTTCGGATGTTTGAATTTTGGGTGTAATTTCCTTTTATTCTGTGTAGCAAAATACACTGAGCGATTAGAGTAAGAAGTTGATATTTGGTTTTCTTGTTATCCTATAGTTAATTTGTGTAGAGACATTAAAATGAACATGTACATATGGTACATATGGTTGCCATAATGATTTCATTAAGAAATATTATATTTCTTTGTGTGACATATTAAATGCTCATTAGTATTCCTTGTGGTTTTGTTGTTGTTTACTGTACTCTCCCTTGAGGAGAGTGACATTACTTAGATTGATCAAGGTGTACAGGACAGGTGTCAGTGATGAAGCAGAAAATTTTTACCCTTTCAGTATACTTGGTTTCATTTCGACTGTACATTTTTCAGTCGCTGTGTAAATAGTTATTTTGTTTGCATATTTTGGCCTTGTTTCATCAGATATGTTGATTTAAATTTTATACACATGAAAAGATCAGATTAATTTCCAACTGTCACATCTGTGTGTACAACTATTATTATATTGACTTATCACAGTACTAGACTGTCACTCAAAGTTATTTCCTTGTGGACTGTGATCTGTTGGCTAAATCTTATCATCCTATATCATAAGACATGACATGGCTGTTTGTTACACTATCTTTTATCATTGCATTGACCATATTTTCCATTATTCCAACATCACCAAAATCATAACTTGATTGGACTTTTTGTATTGAAGTAATTATTATTATCATCTGAAGATGGGCTGTTTTATTCACTCTTCGTCCATGGTTGGTGATCTGTTGTCCATGGTTGGTGATCTGTTGTCCATGGTTGATTTGTACTTAAACAGTTTGTGTTATTGCTATTCCTTGATAAGTACTTGATGGACATTTCAAATTTCTTATGAAGGTTCTCCTTGGCCCCAAGTTGTTCATTGTCCAATTTTGGGACTGATTCAGAAACAAAGAGGTAGACAGGTGGCCATCTTGGATTTTGGCAGTACAGTACACACAATATGATAGTTTGTTATTACAATTTCTAATTGCTATTACTTGAGAGTTACTGGATGAATTTTCTCATATTTTATACCTACTTTCTCAGGATCCCTACTTGTACATTGTTCAGTTGGACTCTAATGAAAAATATGGCAGACAGGTATCCATCTTTGATTGTGACAGTTATAATTTGAAGTTACTGTTTCATATAACCGTTTCACATGTTTTACCTATATCATAATTCATTTGTGATTTTTACTTAAGCCAACAAAACTTTATGGGTTTATATAGTTTTGGAAAATGGAATATATGATTTTTTATGTTGCATTTTTCAGTTACTGAATGATAGTTCTTTGACTCTGAAGTCCCAAAAATTATCCAATAAAAACTACAGAGTTTTTGCCCTTTTTATGACACTGATAATTGTAAAAAATACCACTAATCTTCGAATGTCACATGGCTAAAAATCCAGCTGTGAGAAAAAGTGTGTGGAAAAACAAAGTAACCAACACTTTTTATTTCTTTCTTTAAGTATTTAATTTTGTAAATTTGACATTGAATATACAGAATACATTTCCAAATTGATAAAAAATGTCAAAGCTATTTGTCAGTATGTTGTAGGCTTAGGCACAGGGTATTATAGACTATGGTGGCAACTGCCTCTTATCATAGTGTCCTCAGTGTAAATGGGAAAATGGGAACCGACTAATTGTTATGTCAATTAAAATGCATAATGCTATACATGTAGAGACAATAAGATTTTCTTAAAAAATGGCTTAATGTTTATTTATGAATCAATTTCCATTTAAAATCACAGATGTATTTACAAAAACTGATGAATGACCTCAGTATTATAGACATCAATGTGCCATATCATGTTTTTATTTGTTTTTATGAAATAAAAATTCTTTTTATAAAAAGATACATAGAATTTATGTCAAAGTTGTTCTAATATTGGCCAACAGTTATAACTCAAATCCCAGATATTTGTTATGTCATGCAAGCTTCTCTAGCTGAATACAGAACAAGAGGACCATAGGGCATGTATCACTCCCCTGGCTTTGGCTGAAATTATTTCTTCGAAACAAAACTGAAGGAAAAGGAATTCCAAGTATCCAAGCATTCAGTACACAACATATCAATTTTCCCTGTCGGGCTCAGTTCCTAGAGAGCCCATTCATGTTAGATCAAATTGAGACATAATGCTGCTATTCCTACTGAAGAAGGATTTTAAATAATTTGTTCTATTTTCAATTAGATTAGTTATGCTCCTCCTGCCCCAAGGGTTCAAGACGCACCTTTTATACAGAATGAATCCCATTCACCCAAAAATGCTTCAGACAAAATTTGGGCAAAATCCAAACATTCCTGCTGGAGGAGTAGGATTTTAAACAATTTGCTGTATTGGGCTCCGACCTAAGGGTTTCAGGTTTGTTGTTTATACAATATCAATTCCACTTCACCCAAGAATGCTTTAGACGAAATTTGGACCAGGTGATCTAAAAACGAGATGAAAGGTTTTAACCAAGCTGCATTAGCAACCCAATCTCTATGTAAAATACTATTATTATAAGGTCATCTGGTCTGAAGGACCTGTTAGCTTATATCATGACAAAGCGTCTGTCGTCAGCGTCAGCCTATCTTCTATTTTCTCTCAACCTTTTTCCCTTTAAATTGCCTCTAGTCATAAATAACT